CTTTCGCCCTCTGGGGGGAGCCTCGCTGGAAAATCAACACCGGTTGCATAGTGTACCTTTAAGTGGGATACACCACGCTTAAAAATGTATGAGGAAGATGACGTTGGCCTCGTCGATTGAAAATTTATCCCATATGAGAAACAGGACGAGATGGAGGGAAATCACAGAGGCTATTTTTTTTTTTACCTTATTTAAATGTTCTTAGATGATGTAATACCTGTGAAGTGATGTTCAGAGGTTTTACAGGTGTTCTCTAAACTTGGAAATGTTCTCAATTTTACAACTTTTTGTGCTTCTTTACAAGCAGGTAAAAATCAGTGCTAAAAGTTTAGAGATGCTCTAAAAATGCTCTAATTTTAGGACAGTATTTCCACTTTTGTTTTTGTAATTTTAAGTCAATTTCTTTTTTTCATTCTACATCTTTTTTATTATGCAAAAATTAGCGCTTTTTTTTTTTTTTTGCATTTTACTTAGTGTTGTGTGTTTTTGCTTTGTTTCCCATTTGGTTGCTGGGATCTTGTTAAAGGTCTAATGATGACTGACACCCAAAGACGTCGTGTGGCAGAAAGCTTAAATAAAATGTTTTAAATTTGAAACCAAAGTTTGAGTAAATATATCAGTGCAATGGTATGCACTCCATTGTTTTTGAAGGTAATTTAAACATAGTGATATATTCTGTGTATCTCGATTAATTATCCTATGAAGTTAAGATTTTCTTAAGATCATCCAGCCCTATAGTTTGGAAGAAGTTTAGACAAACCTCCAAGGACAAAAACCCCATCTATAGTGTCTATGGTTAGACATAACATAAATGTTCCATTTAGAACGATGTGAAAAAAAGTTTTGACAATGACAGACAAGTCAGATAAGTGGTTCTCCTAACTGTCAATCCTTCAGGCGATATGTTTACGCAAGGCTGTCCTATGTGCTCAGGCCGTTGGAGCAATCTTTTCTGCGCACTTTCAAGCGTATATCTGTGGTGAGCTACGGTTTCAGACAAACAAAGATGGTGCGGCACCGCACGGAGGAGGACTTACATGACCAACGGAGCAAAAAGCAGTTATCTGTCTGAACGCTCAGTTAAGTGAGTTCACAATAAAGTGCAAGAGATTATTGTATTATGTATCGCTTCCTATTCATTCTGACAGCAGCTTGAACTGTGGTCTGACCCAAGATGGCTGCCCTCAAGGCACGTTTATAGACATTAGAGTAGACCCAGCATTGAGTGTACAGGCGCCATCTTGGGGAGGTCGACCTGCTACCCTAACCTGCTGCTTTAAGCAGAACAGAAGAAGGATGCCTCAGCACTGCAATGGATTTTTGTCTAAACCAACAGGTTGTTAACATCAGAGCTCGAGGGATAACTTCATAAATGCATCAGAGCTTTGGAAGACATTACTAAATAAACAGCAGATATACACTAGATAGAAACTCTCTTTGTTGTCCCACAGTGGGTAAATTGTGGTGTTCCAGCCGCAAAAGATTACAGCAAAAGTTGTCACACAAATTTGGACCTTATGAAGTGCATAAAAATAATAGAATAAGTGACAGAGTAAAAAATAAAAATAAATCGAACCCAATTTTATTAGTTAAGCACTTAAAAACAACCACCGCTGATCAAAGTACTGTAAATAATACATAAAACACTATAAATAAAAAGTAAAACAGCTAAAACATGGGTAAAAATAATATTCACATAAAACACAAAAAAATGAATATAAACAAAAAAATGTTTTTACAAATATAAATACAGCGCATCTGAATAATTAATCAATATACAACTATGGACATTTTATATATATATATATATATATATATATATATATATATAATTGACACCTGTATAAGTAGTTGCTGCATACATCTTAGCAGAATAATCTATTACTCTTTACTCCACTAAGAATATTCAAATGAACTAAAACATTTGTTTGTTTTCAGCAAAAAACAATGAAAATTAGTTCAATATTCAAAAAGTTCAAGTTGATTAGATTTGATCCTGCTCAACAATTACACTGAGCGGAGCTGTCGACCGCCCCAAGATGGCGCCACCGAATCATGTCAGTGCTCATGGATAAAAGCGGTCTACTATTATATTATGTCTAATGGCACAGTCTCCCTGCGTCCACTGAGGCGTATTGTCCATTGGCGACATTTTCAAAAAACCAACCTGAACCAGAACCAAACATTTCTTCCGAAACATTTTTATTCGCTTATCTGTTTAGAATATTTCTTTATAAACATGTTTTGCCCACTGACCTGCTCATTGCTGTAAGCGAAGATGTACTCTTCTTGGTTGTTAACAGGGTCGTTTCAGCTCTCAGACACTTTATTGGAAGCTTGTTTCCAGAGTTACACAACCAGCGGGTTATTCAAGCCGCCATGCTTTGTGGCTCTCTGAGCTGTTGAACGGTCCGACAAACTGTAACCCGGTAATTTGGTTCCGTTCGGAACAAATAAGTAATTTACAGCCCTGAAGCCCAGCGTGCACAGCTGAATGAGTCAGGTCCGGTCCGATGTGAGCACCACTGGGCAGAGGGGTCGCAGAGGAAGGCGTTACGAAGAAGCAGCTAACACTAATCTACATCCGGTTAAAGGGTTTCAAAATAAAGTTGTTGTTTTTTTTTTTTTTTCCCACCACCAGTGTGATAAATCAGCTGCAGTGTTAACCTTACTTTTATAGTGAAAGGTAAAGTATTTCTTTTTCCTGTTAATTTCCCTCACTTTGTCACTTCCGGGACACGGGTTTCCCGCCAGTTGAGAATAAACCATTCCCCGTTTGAGGTAGGGGGCGAATTAAAATAAAGTGCCTCGAAAAAACTTTTAAGTACATTTAAATATACTTATGATTTTTACTGTCCCAGAGAAAATCTTCATATCATCCCAGGCAAAGCATAATATCAGGGTAATATTTCAATTTTCCCCTTTTTTGTAAGAAGACCTCTGCCAAGTTATGAATCCAGCAAAAATGATTTATTGGAAAAGGGCAAGACAAATGATCTGCCACCATCAACTCCGGAAGTAGTATTTGTAGTGGTGTTTATATATATATATATATATATATATATATATATATATATATATATATATAGTCAGGTCCTCTGGTCCCTGGATCTCTGGTCCCTCGGTATAACGGGATCTTTTTCATCGCTCTGGTGATGGATGGCTGATGAAATAGAAAATAAAAATCATGCTCTGATCTATGTGTTCCAGGTCGGATCCATGCAAAGCTGCTTTGACATTCACAGGCTGATCTGAGTCATTTGCTTTGCTCAATTAAGGCCAAAGCTAACCTCTTTTAATCCTAAACGTATTTTAAAGTTTAAGATTAGTTAAATTGCTAGTTAAATTGCCAAGAACTGTGAAAAACAATTTAAACCTTTTTACAAAATCAACAACAAACAACAAAGAAATTAGTGTTGACAAAATAAATTGCAGGTAAGGTAAGGCTGCAACAACATTAGCATTTGAAGTATCCAGTTAGTTAAAGACATTAAGGCTTTATAGACCTTAACTGGAAAAACAGCATGCAAATAACACCACAATGGCCTGGGAATGGCTCGTTAGGGAAGTATGTAGCTCTGATGTGAAGAAGCAGTTTTAAATCGTTTCTGAAAAAAATCCTATTTTATAAACTCTTAAAAACAAATCTCAAAGTTTGATTGATCTTAAAAATAAAACACCCTAAAGATAAATACTATTGGTAAGAGATGAGAGTGGCTTCGCTTTTACTAACAGGCCTCAAAATGGCTGCTACACATACATTGGTTCCTCTTTCAAGATTAAACAATCTTACAATTTACGAGATCTTCCAATCTTTTCAAAATAAATAAATAAAAACTAATCTACATGCTTAAACCGCTCTATAATTAAAGACACGTTTAAGATTAGTTCAATCTCAGGCCTTGTTGCATTAGAAGCTGCAGCTAAGAAGCTATACACAAGTAATAACTGGTTAAATTGCCAAGAACTGTGAAAAACAACAAAGCCTGCATGTTTGGTATCATTTTAAAGCAGATAAGCTAACCAACAAATATATGCCAGGGACAAGATAAACAAATTCTTATGGTTTGATTTATCTTTAAAAATAAAAATCGATAAATAATGTTAAGGTGAAGCCATACCTTGAAAACACTGGTAGTGGCTCCCCCCTTGGTCAACGCCCCTCGGGTAAGACTGGGGGGTTGGGGGGTCTTCTAGCCTTTATACATGGTCTGCAGCCACTCATTCCTACATTCTTTTTCTCTTTTTTTTCAAGAAGGCAAGACAAGAGGACAACACAAGAACAACATGGAGGCTTCATAGTAAGTAGAAATCTGTTTTGGCTTAAAGTTTACACATTCTGAGATGTTTCTTAGTAGGAAATGCTAGTTTACTTATGCAGAGCTTTTCTCTGGCTTTACTTTTTTTTTTTTAAACATCATAATATGTATCCTACCATGGTTTTGTGCATTGACTAAGTTTAACTGATCTATTCCTCTTGCGGTACATTAGTTTAAAAATGTAAGTGGCAAGAAATAAATACCTTAAGATTGTTAAATCTGTTTCAAGAACCAAACCTCAAAATGGCTGCAAGGAAGACTAAGTTTAGTGGGTGTATTTTCTGTTTTCAGTGCTGCTAACAGGACATACCTTCTGTGTCCTATTTGCAAGAAGACCTGGCCAGCACTCTCACAGCACCTCACAAGAACCTGCATGAAGCGCAATCTGCAGGATATCCCAGGTGCTGTGGCAAAGGCTAAGACAGATGCCCATGAAATCCTGGTTTCAGGACGTGTCTTCACCTTTGACCAGATCAAAAACATCATGAGGACTGCACGTCCATTACACAAGTATGAAAGATAATTTTATCAGAAATTTATAGTCATGTACTCATATGCCAAATACCGGAACCCAGTCTGTATCTTTTTATTTAATTTCAGCATGATTGAAGAGCTGCAGACGCGGCATTTCGTGGTGCGAGGCATCCCGTCCGACTTCTACCACAGTGCTGCCGGGCAGCAACCTGGAGGTCATCTGGCTCAGAAACTTTCAGGTTGGGCTGCAGCTGAGCAGAGTGACGAGTCTGAAGGAGGGGGAAGCAGCAGCAGTGATGAGACTTTTCAAGAGTACGGCTAAAACATCATGCTAGATATTTTTTAGCACAGCAGCAAAAGTCAAAGCAAGAAACGCATTCTTCTAAACTCCTTTTTCTGCATTGCAGTGAGCCAAATGCTGGGTGGCAAACCGACAAAAGACAACAGATGCTTGATAGGGGTCTTTACGACAAGCACTCCAGGGATCACAAATTGCTCAGAGACTATGCTAGATATCTCCACAAAAAACGGCAGATTGAGAATTACAGACAAGATGTAAGGACTACTCTCTTATTGTGACATTTTCTGAGCTGTGGTTCAGCACATGTAAAAAGCTCACTGTTGAACAAATTCAAGTTATTAAATATGTAATTTATTTTCAGGTGGCCAACGTAGCAAGATACCTGTACTACATGGACCCCAAGGAACCTTCTCTTCAATTTGTCCTGAACAAAGAGAAGACCCAGCAGTACCTCAGGGACCTGACCCAAGCCGGCCTAATGAAGCAGACGCAGATCAACTATCTGAAAAACCTCAAACGGTTAGTTTCTCTTCATATTTATGCAGGTGTATTTTTGAATCTCTTAGAATGTCATTGTTGTTTGTATATTATTCAAATGCATGTTTATTTCCCCTTTCAGTTTCCTGAAATTCCACACCTATCACACTGACCTGAAGAAGCGCGACCCCAAGCTTCATGGCCACTGTGTGGATTTCATTGAGTTCTTGGGTTTGCAACAGGGGACTTTATCCAAACAAGTGAGCAAGGGAGCTGGTAAGAAAGAGGTAGGTTAAACACATACAAGGAGGTAAAAAAAAAAAAGAAAAAAAGAAATATTAATGCAAAAACCTTCACTGTCATGGACTCGGCATCGATTGGGAATCAGTGAAATTTCTAATCTACAAGCTCCCTTTAACAGCATTTAAAGATTTCGAAAGGAATCATGGTATTTAAAACAACGAAGAAGCTTAAATTTAAAAGCCTGGCAGCCAGGGGTTAAAAAAACTGTTTCACAACCTGTTAATTCTTTGCTTTCACCTTCATGAAAGAACGCAATGATTCATTTTCCTTTTTGTTTTTTAACAGGCATAAATCTTTATCTACAGACTCTCAACTTGCTCCAAAGATGTGGTT